TAGCCAGAGCTTGCCGGACAACCTGCTCCCTATCCGACCGGTCGAGTTTTCTGACGTCGATTGTCTGAACTTTGTTCCCGCCGGCGTAACCTGCCCGCGTCCGCGTCAGAGACCGTCGCAGCACCGCGAAATTCCCTTGTTTCTGCGATGGCAAACGCGCAATCGCCGCCCAGATCAGATCTTCCTCGTCCTGTTCCACCAATTCCGCGTTCGACGGCCGCGCGAACGATTCGCTTCCCGCCTCGACATCGTACTCGAAATACTCGCTCCCGTTCGAAGCCGCCGCCATTATCCTCTCTCTTCGTCTTCTAGATCTATACGCAGTGTCCTCTCCCTTCTATGAGATTTTCCTCCCCGCCTCCCTGAACTCAGAGCACAGAAAGATAGAAATGCGTCTCTCTCTCTCTCTTACACCTCAAGAAACAAGGGAAAGAAAGAAACCAAATAGGAGTGCATCCATCCCGGGAATTTTGAAGCTGACTTAAATTTACCATATTGCCCTCGCAGATTATATGGTTTCGTTGTCCATTATTAGGTAAACAATGTCCATAGTATTATTAATTATTGTTACTTTGGGAGTTTTTGAGGAAATTTGCTGACATGAATCAAATTCCTATTTATCTATTTTCATCTATTTTAGTCGTACTGATGCGGTGAATTACAACAACTGTAGTTTTTTGGTCCATTATTTGGAAAACAATGTCAATAGTCTTGTTAAGTATTGTTACTTTGTGGGAGTTTATGGGAAGCAATCAAAATCTCATAAGAAAGCTTTTCTGTTTTGAATGTTAGTGAATGTATTAACCAAAAAAAAAATATGTTAGTAAATGTTACGATTTTCATAAAAGATTTATGCTTTACATTTCTTTTAATTTCAGTAAATAGATAGATTTTGGTTAGTGGTTATCTCTTATACATTACTTTTTCTTTAAATACACTTGAAATCTTTTTTACGAAGATCGTAAAATTTACTAACATTCAAATAAAATAGAAAAAATAGTAACAGTATGTCCTTCACTTCTTTTAGATTATATATACCACAGATGTACTATAATTATAAACTATATTACTTTCTCTTTTTCATTAGATTCGCCTTACCTATACCTCTATTTTTAATTTTGGTTAGAAAAGTATGTTATATACTATAAGAATGCTAAAAAAAAGGCAAGAATTAAAGTTTTGGAATGGAAAAAATATTTTTATTTTAATAATTGCAGAGAAAAATTAGAGAAATGAATTACTTAAACAAATCCTGCACTTGCTCAGGTAATTGCGACACCTGTGACTTTTTATTTCCTTTCTCTTGCTCATGGTCAATATGACGTGTTGAATCTGTTGGTACTTTGGAAAGGAAATTGCTTGCTGTATGGGCATGGAGCTCGGAAAGGTCGACATAAAGAGGTTTGCGGATGGAGAGATATATGTGCAGCTGCAAGAGAGTGTTAGGGGATGTGACGTCTATTTAGTGCAGCCTACTTGCTCTCCTTCCAATGAGCATCTGATGGAGCTCATGATTTTGATAGATGCTTGCCGAAGAGCATCTGCCAAGGAAGTCACAGCCGTGATTCCATATTTTGGATATGCTCGAGCTGACAGGAAGGTACTCCTTTTTGCCATTATGCTCCTTTGGCTGTTGCTGTGATTAGTTTGATATTAGAAATTCCGCTATCCGCCGGAGGTCATCTAATTCTATATTCTAGACACAAGGGCGTGAATCCATTGCTGCCAAACTGGTTGCTAACCTTATCACCGAAGCTGGTGCGGATCGAATTCTTGCTTGTGATCTTCATTCAGGCCAGTCCATGGGTTACTTTGACATTCCCGTGGACCATGTGCAATGTCAGGTATCTCTCCAGTCGGTCTTTACTAATTTCCGCCTCGGTTGCGAGCTTTAGATGTTGATATCATCCATTCACTGTTTGATTTCTTTTGAGCCGGTGATACTTGATTATCTTGCAAGCAAGTCAATTTCCTCGGGAGACTTAGTGGTGGTCTCCCCCGATGTTGGAGGGGTTGCCAGGGCACGTGCGTTTGCAAAGAAACTATCAGATGCTCCCCTTGCCATTGTTGATAAAAGGCGCCATGGTCACAATGTTGCCGAGGTAATAGGCTCCTTTTCTTGTAAAGAAAAAGGCACTTATGATTCAATCGATTACATACATACACATCATGCTTTCCTGCAGGTCATGAATCTGATTGGTGATGTAAGAGGAAAGGTGGCAGTCATGGTGGATGACATGATTGACACCGCGGGTTTGTGACTGCTTGACCAAACCTGTAGTGATCATATCAAACTTTCAAACCATTCCAGACCAAAACTCTATACGCTCTTGTTTGCTGTCCAAATCTTTCCTCCACATTCAAGATTGCTGAGAAGCATTTTCGTTTTCAGGAACAATAGTGAAAGGAGCAGCGCTTTTGCACGAGGAGGGGGCAAGAGATGTCTATGCGTGCTGCACCCACGCCGTTTTCAGGTTCTGCCATTAACCCTTTGCATGGTCCTGCGACAACAGTGTCGAAATTCTGAAACTTTTTGTATATACTACTCTACTCTCGTGTGGATTAGTCCGCCGGCGATAGAGAGATTATCGGGGGGATTGCTTCAAGAAGTGATAGTGACGAACACTCTCCCGGTGGCGGAGAAGAATTACTTCCCGCAGTTAACGATTTTATCGGTGGCTAATCTCCTGGGAGAGACCATTTGGCGTGTCCATGATGATAGCTCCGTCAGTAGCATTTATCTCTGACCCACATTTTTTCGGCTCGGCAGCTTCTCTTGCTGTTTGCACGCCAAGAAAAAGAAATAAAAATAGATTTTTATGTTTTCTGCTTTCTTTCGTGTTATTATTTTAGGCCTTCTTTTTCTATCATTTGCTCCATTGGGCTTTAGAATTTAATGTTTTTTCGTCTGAGTAATCTTTGAATCATGAGATGTGTCTCTGACTTGATTAGAGATTTCCCTTTCATAAATCAATTTTTGACTAGTACAAATACGCAAATTGTAAGACAGTAGATCATTTTTTTTTATCGAAATAACATGGACTAAGGGTTTTTTATGTCCACCGGCGCACCGCCGCAAAACACGGAGGTAAAAAAAAAAAATCAAAACAGGCTTTTCTCGTATTTCCGTGTATACACTCTATATGGTATAAGTGTAGGATTTGAAACGGTGTGATGTTGTTGTTTTGGCACGTGGAAATGCAAATATCTTCTTCTTTTTTTCCTTTTTATATTTGTTCCTTTTTTTTTCCGGGTGCAAAAAAAATTGAAGACGAGGAAAAGTAGAACAGAAATAGCGGGCCGATTGCTTCGGACCAAAGCAACAGATCCACTGCTCCACATCTGCCCGCCGATTGTCTCTCAGGACATGTTTTGGCTTTCTTTAATATTATTGAAAACACCAACTCTGGAATACAAACTCGTAAAACCGTTGTGGTAGGATTATTCAGACAGAGTATCTATCAGATCAGATGGATGAGGGGCTTGTCTAAAGGAGAGAGTCTGTTACTTTCACAGAGGAAGCTCTCCAGCGTCAGAGATGACAACTGTGGTCTTGGGCGCTCCGCTCTGCATGCCTTCAGCTTCGACCTTGTAAACCACATCCATCCCTTGCAACACTTTCCCAAACACCACATGCCTTCCGTCCAACCTGCAACCCATTCCCCCACCATCATAATAATCAACATCTCTCATTCTACATTAGCTATTCGTCACCAATGAATGAACTAGTTGGGCGTTTTACCAGCTGGTTGTCACTGTGGTGATAAAGAACTGCGATCCGTTGGTGTCTGGGCCAGCGTTTGCCATCGACAGAAGACCTGTTTAATTCAGTTTCAATTATTCATTAGCCCAGCCAACGCCAATAAGAGCCAAAAGGGTTATTCCTATCTGTCTGTCTGTCTGTCTGCCTGCCTCTACATTTTCTTTTACGAGACAGAATACGAGCGTGTGAAAGGAATCTGTTAGACAGGTAAGTAAGAGACAAGGAGAAACAAAAAGGATTAACCAAGAGAATGCTCTCTCTGTTGTGGTGGTAAAGTCACCTGGTCCGGTGTGCTTGAGCTTGAAATTCTCATCTGCGAATTTCTCACCATAGATAGACTCTCCGCCCATACCATTGCCATGCGTGAAGTCACCTCCCTGTATCATAAAGCTGGGAATGATCCTGTGGAACTTGCTTCCCTTGTAGTGCAGAGGTTTCCCGCTC